GCCGCTGCGAGGGCCAGGGCGCGGGAGGCGGCCTAGCCCGCGCGCAAGGACAGCTGGCGCAGTGGCAGCCATGGGGAAGGGTCTCTCGTACTGTGGGGTGCGTTCTCTCGTGAACGATCGTGGCTGTGGGCTGGGCCCCGCGCCGCGCGGGCGCGCGTGCGGTCCCTCGAGGTCCCGCCGGGAGCTGCTCACACAGCTGTACGAAGGGTGGGCGGTGGCGCATTTTGAGGTGGGGGAGGGGGGGGGGGGGGGCTGGGGGGCTAGGGGAGGGGCGGAAAAAACCCAACGCTGCTCGGGCGTGACCCGAGCTCGAGACGCCGCGCTGCGGGAACTGTACTGTCCCGCACTGGCGGGGTCGTGAGGGGGACAGTGCGCCACGAGACTTGTCGGCGTGTTGTGTTGCGCCATGTGTTGCACTGACTGTCCATCCTCTTCGCCCTGGCACCCCCGCGCCAGACCCGACGGCTTCACCCTCGGCGAGCAGCGCAGTCCGCCTCCCCCTCCAAGCCCGGTCCCGCCTCCGCCGGCCCTCGACGGAACGCTCGCCGCCGCGTGCTCGGACGCCTGTCCGCATGCACGCGACGGCGAGTGTGACGACGGAGGCGACGGCTCGCTCTATATGGCTTGCGCCCACGGCACCGACTGTATGGATTGCGGCGAGCGCCCCCACGCCTCGCCTCCACCTTCGACCCCAGCCTCGCCCTCGGCGGCGTCGGGGCTTCCGGCCTCCGAGTGCACCGACTCGTGCTTTCACTCCAACGACGGCGAGTGTGACGACGGAGGGCACGGCGCCCTCTACAGGTGCCGCCCATCCCGCCCGGCCCTCCGCCCTCCCCCTCGCCTCCTCCCAGCCGGCCCCCTTTACACCCAACCGCCTACCTCCTTGCCCGCAGCGCCTGCGACCACGGCAGCGACTGTGCCGACTGCGGCCACCGCTTCCCATCTGCTCCGCCTCCTGCCTCGCCGCCTCCCGCGGCGACCACGTCGGCTCCGCCCTCCGAGTGCACCGACTCTTGCTTCCACGCTCGCGACGGTACAACCCGAGCCTCGGCCCTTGCAACCTGCAAAAGGCT